ACTTTGCCTTAAAGAAACAGTGTTCCATAATGTTGCTGAACTGTGTAACACACTGCTGTGTGCATGCCTGCAAAGATGGGTCGGTCAAAACAGAAAAAGGAGGCAATGTTTGCTGAAGCGAGAGATAGAGCCCTGTGGCTAGGGGGTTATATACCGCATGCCTCAGCCAAGCCGGGAAATGTAAATGTGGGTGAGTCTGCTGTGGACTGGTGCAAACGGCACCTGGCAGCATTGAACCAACCTACAGAGGAAAGCAAACCAACCTTCAGTGCAAGGAGAGAGCAGCAGGATGTCCGTACCTGGGAGAGGGGTGTTGTTGCCCCTGGCAGCGCTGCTGCAGTTAAACCAGTAGCTGTTGTAAAAAATGTGAATGTGTCACGGCTTGAGAGTTGGTCCAGCAGAGAGAAGCCTATGCTATGTGCAAGGAGAGGGGCTGACCAGAGGCCAGGACCAAGAGTGAAGGCCCATAGCAACACAGAGGGGGCCAGTCGGGCTGCCTGTGTACAGGGGGCTATGTCGTACAAGGATCATGGCAAGTGGTATCAAGAGGAGCCAATACAGCGTATTGGAAAGAGCCAGCAAAGTTCTGCTTGGAGAGTGCAATCTCCCATGGCGACCAGAGAAAAAATATTGCCTGGAAGGAGGAAGCTGCATTGGAGATGTGGCTCAGTATCCCAATAAAGATAAGTGTGGAAATGTACCCTGCCTGGAATGTGGTCAGTGGGGGCATGGGATCTTTTACTGTCCCAGACTCTGGAATACCACTGATACTGGGCAAATGTCTTCAACTGCAAGCCCAGATTCTTGTTTTAAAATGTTGGCAGCCACCTCTGGCAACAGGGAGGAAGTACCTGTTGGGCCTGCAGGGGGTGCTAGAGAGTTCATGGAGCCTATGAGGGCGTCTGTTACTTCACCTTGGGGCAAGGGAAAAGTTGCCAAGGACAGTGCAGTTGAGGATGCATTTATGAGACGACGCACTCAAATGAAGATAGCGACACCTACTACTGTGGTGGGTAAGACTGTGTGTGATAAAACCATGGCTGGGACTCTCATGTTGAGAAGGGACTGGTTATGAGACTGTCCATTCTGATGTAGGAGTGACCCCAGTTAGTTGGGCCACTGAATGTGCTTTTGAGAGTGTATTTTCCCTGTGCAGTGCCTTGTACAGTGGGGAGGTAGGAATTAAAATAAAACCTGTGCATGGTTTTCAAAAAGAAAGTGATGTCACTAATGTGTGCCAGTCACAGGTTGGTAGTGGGCTAGTACAGCCCACAAGAGCTAAAAATGCTGATAATGGTGGTGATGATGAGAAATGTACTGCTGTTGGGAAAACCCTGAGCTCTTGCAGTGCAAAAGCGGTAAGTAAAGATGGGTCAACTGGTGGTAAGAAAGCACAGGTGTCCTTTGAAATCTCCAGGGGTCTCCGTGTATTGGAGCTGTAGGTTGTTCTGGACAACTGCGATGTCACTCTGGTGGAGCAAAGTGGAACTGCACCTTGTCATAGGAGTGTGTTGGTGCAGTCTAATAATACTGAAAGTGTTCAGGTAAACAGCGATGTTAATGCAGCCTGGCAAAAATGCAAATGTGTGGGTAATTCAGGAAGCACCACCAGAGCAAAGTGGTGGATGTGAGGTATTGCAACATGCAGTTGGAAAACAGGTGTTACCAAAGTCAGACGTGATCCAGAGTGATTTGTGCAATGGATCTGCAACTAAGCCCGTCTATTCTTATGTGTCTCCTTGGGCGGATGGATCGGTGCTGAGGAGCACTGGCGAATTGAGCACATATACAATGGAATGGGATAGTTGGGGTAAAAGGCTAATCTTGTTGATAGATGAGGCTTTTATGCAAAAAAATAAGGTGGACATTGTTTCTGCTGTGCCAGCAGGAGGGTCTATAGAACAGGCTATAGATAAGGGCGTGCATACAGCAGAGACTTTGTCTGTGACCCAGAAAAGTGATGTTGGCATGGAGTGTCATAATGATGTCATTGGGAATGATCGGGGGCAGCTTATGGGTGCTGAGTCTGAGACGTTGAGAGTGAGCCCAGCACATGGCAGCACTCTGGTAGAGCACCAGGCTGTGGTTGCCTCCAGCTTGGAAGAGGTCCCTTTTAAAAGTTTCAACTTCTCAAGTCTCAGCAGGTGAGTCTCTCAGCATTCCCAGTGTCCTAAATATCGTCAGGAAGGTCTTGGGTCTAGAGTCAAGTGGTTGGGTTGTAACCAAAGTATTAAAGGAGATGCTTGAACTTTGGAATGTACAACCAATGTATACTGAGGTGTCTCCTACACAGTCAGATGGTCTGGTACTGCGGACTACCACTAGGTGGAGCACCGAATGGCTGGCTGTACAGATCAAAGGGGAACAAAAAAGTGGTATATTTCTGAATTTGTTGATGGTGTTAAAAGTTGTATCGGGGTACGCCACTGGATTACCTGTAAATGTGATATATAAGAAAGGTTTTGGAGAAATGGAAAATTAGTCAAAAAAGGTTTCACCTCCTAACAGCCAGGTGGGAAGCATTTCTGCTGCTATGGTCCAGGATGGTGCTGGTCAGTTGTCAGTGAAGGGCGTGTTTACTGCACCAGTGGACAAACCACATGAGATGGAAGGGCCGAGCATGGACCAGAGAACAGCAGAGATCCTGACCAGGGCTCAAACGGATGTGCATAAAGAAATCAGGGTCATTGGGCCAAAAAGAGGTTTATGTAGCAGGTCTGTTAAGACACCTGAAATACAGGGACAAATGGTATGTGAAAACTGGCAAAATGGATCAGAAGAGAGCTCATCTGTACAGGATTTGGATACAGATCCAAGTGGCGTAGAAAAAGTTAAAATGGTGGGACAGCCGTCTGCAGAGTGCATGACACCAGGTAAAGTGGCATCTGGTGAGGTTTCTGTGGGTGATGGCTGCCCTATGGTGTGCAGACACTGTCCTAACAAATGCTGGAAAAGATATTGAAGGTGTAATATTGACTGCAATATATCTGTTCATGGTAAACTGAATACTGTGGTGATGAGTCATGCAGGTTTGATATCCAAAGGTACCAGAAATAAAGGGGGTGGTCCCGGTACAATTACAGTGGAAATAGGTCCCCTACAGCCTTGGGACAGTAATACTGAGAGAGGTATTAGGAAACCTTGGAACCTGAAGCAAAGAGGCAGAAAGGTCGATAGAAAGGCCAGGGGGACCCCGTTAAGATTTCAGGAGATAAAGTGTTTATGGAAATGCACCCAGAAAAAGAATAGGGAAGGTCTGAGTAGCGCCCATAGCAGAGTGACAACGGGGCTTGGGGAGAGACACCAAAGGAGTCATTGGGTAGAGTTCCCCTTTAGGAAAGGTATGGCCAGAGCAGATTGGACCCCTGCAAGTGAGAGCTGGCACAGAGGTGCCAGAAGATGTAAGTTGTGTGTTCTGCCCCCTACGGGGTTAAAACAAAGGGGGGGATATGTGACAGTGGGGCGATCTGTCACCCAGGATTCTCAATAAGGCAGGTTGAGGGGCTCCGGGGTACGTGTTTGATACAGAGGAAAAAGGATTTTCACTTTCCTCATTTGTTTGTAAGGTCCATTTTGGGACCTGTAGCCTGGAGATTTCAAAGCGATTTGGGAGGGATGAAATCTCCAATCCCGGGACCAGGTTTTGGGAATGGCCAGGAGACTGATTGCACAGGTGTGTGCAGGCCTTTCAATAAGAGGCCTAACCAGGGTTCTGGGCTTCACCCCGGCAGACAGGAGTCAGGAGGGCTCCACCTCGGCAGACAGGAGGTCTCTGCCTTGGAGTCAGGAGGGCTTCACCAAGGAGAGGTGGAAGCCAGACTAGCTGTATGCTAGTAGCCAGCTGTGTGCGAGAGCCATATTTTGGAAAGAGTCTGTAGGAGACAGACATAAAACTGTGTACAAGCCAGGAGGCTGAATTTTCATTTGCATTTGTTTGATGGTGGATACTCCTGCGTGGGAAGCTTTATGGAACATTTTCTTTAAATAAATGTGGGCTAAAAAGGCCTTAAAAAAGAAAGCGAGTTGCTGTGTGCGTTTAACAAAGCTCTACCATTTGAAGCGAGTTCTCACAATAGAGTATCTCACAGAAGTGAGTACACCCCTCCCATTTTTGTAAATATTTTATTATATCTTTTCATGTGACAACACTGAAGAAATGACACTTTGCTACAATGTAAAGTAGTGAGTGTACAACTTGTATAATGGTGTAAATTTGCTATCCCCTCAAAATAACTCAACACACAGCCATTAATGTCTAAACCGCTGGCAACAAAAGTGAGTACACCCCTAAGTGAAAATGTCCAAATTGGGCCCAAAGTGTCAATATTTTGTGTGGCCACCATTATTTTCCAGCACTGCCTAACCCTCTTGGGTATGGAGTTCACCAGAGCATCACAGGTTGCCACTGGTGTCCTCTTCCACTCCTCCATGACGACATCACGGAGCTGGTGGAAGTTAAGACCTTGCGCTCCTCCACCTTCCATTTGAGGATGACCCACAGATGCTCAATATGGTTTAGGTCTGGAGACATGCTTGGCCAGTCCATCACCTTTACCCTCAGCTTCTTTAGCAAGGCAGTGGTCGTCTTGGAGGTGTGTTTGGGGTTGTTATCATGTTGAAATACTGCCCTGTGGCCCAGTCTTCGAAGGGAGGGGATCAGTATGCCACAGTACATGTTGGCATTCATGGTTCCCTCAATGAACAGTAGTTTCCCAGTGCCGGCAGTACTCATGCAGCCCCAGACCATGACACTCCCACCACCATGCTTGACTGTAGGCAACATACACTTGTCTTTGTATTCCTCACCTGGTTGCCGACACAGAAGCTTGACACCATCTGAACCAAATAAGTTTATCTTGGTCTCATCAGACCATAGGACATGGTTCCAGTAATCCATGTCCTTAGTCTGCTTGTCTTCAACAAACTGTTTGCAGGCTTTCTTGTGTATCATCTTTAGAAGAGGCTTCCTTCTGGGACGACAGCCATACAGACCAATTTGATGCAGTGTGTGGCGTATGGTCTGAGCACTGACAGGCTGACCACCCACCCCTTCAATCTCTGCAGCAATGCTGGCAGCAATCATATGTCTATTTCCCAAAGATAACCTCTGGATATGACGCTGAGCATGTGCACTCAACTTCTTTGGTTGACCATGGCGAGGCCTGTTCTGAATGGATCCTGTCCTGTTAAACCGCTGTATGGTCTTGGCCACCATGCTGCAGCTCAGTTTCAGGGTCTTGGCAATCTTCTTATAGCCTAGGCCATCTTGATGGCAACAATTCTTTTTTTCAGATCATCAGTGAGTTCTTTGTCATGAGGTGCCATGTTGAACTTCCATTGACCAGTATGAGAGAGTGAGAGCGATAACACCAAATTTAACACACCCGCTCCCCATTCACACTTGAGAACAGTAAATGAGTCACATGACACCAGGGAGAGAAAATGGCTAATTGGGCCCAATTTGGCCTTTTTCACTTAGGGGTGTACTCACTTTTGTTGCCAGCGGTTTAGACATTAATTGGCTGTGTGCTGAGTTATTTTGAGGGGACAGCAAATTTACATTGTTATACAAGCTGTACACTCACTAATTTACATTGTAGCAAAGTGTAATTTCTTCAGTGTTGTCACATGAAAAGATAGAATAAAATATTTACAAAAATGTGAGGGGTGTACTCACTTCTGTGAGATACTATATATTATATGTATCTAGGAAAGAATCCTGGCCTTTTTTTAAAGCAATCCACGGAGCTGGCCAGAACCCACTTTTGAGGGAATTTATTCCACATTTTCACAGCTCTCACTGTAAAGAAGCGTTTCCGTATTTGGAGATTAAATCTCTCTTCCTCCAGATGTAAAGAGTGCCCCCTTATCCTCTGTGATGACCTCAGGGTGAATAACTCTACACGGAGTTCACTATATGAACCACTGATGTATTTACACTGTTATACAAGCTGTACGCTAACTACTTTACATTGTAGCAAAGTGTCATTTCTTCAGTGTTGTCACATGAACAGATATAATAAAATATTTACAAAAATGTGAGGGGTGTACTTACTTCTGGTAGATACTGTATTTACATTTCCAAAGGCCTGTTTCTTAAAAAGCAACAGCTTCACCGCTCACTCTCCTCTGTAACTATTTACACACTTTTGGGGAAGGAGGGGTGGGTGGAAGGAAGGGGAGGGAGGGGTGGGTGGAAGAGAGGAAGGGAGGGGTGGGTGGGTGAAACACAGGGAGTTGTAGGTGGGTGGAAGGGAGGGAGGGGTAGGTGGGTGGAAGGAAGGGAGGGGTGGAAGGAAGGAAGGATGGGAGGGGTGTGGATGGGTGGAAGAAAGGAAGGTTAGGTGGGCTCACAATGACTCATTCAGATGCATCAGAGCTGTCATCAGCTGGTGTTTTCAGTTTCCCGCCCACGCATCCTCTGAAGCTTCATGGACTGGAGTGTGGGCGGGGCACAGGGGGAGGCATAGCAGATCTAGCCTCTCTCCCTTCTTCTCCTATTGGTGTGGAGGATGGAGGGAGGGGCTGGGTACTGAGAAGAACACAGCGGCAGTGGGGGGCAGAGAGGGGGGGAGCCAGAAAGAAAACGGATCGATCAGATGTGTTCTGTGCAGCGGTGGGGGCAGTGTCCATTAGCAATATCTTGTATGGCTTTCAGTGAAGCAGTTGGAAGCCGCTTTTCCTCCTCTCCCTGCTGCGGCTTCCAGTTGCTTCATTGAAAGCCATACAGCACTGCTCGCCGCCCCCACCTTTTTTCCACTCACAGGCGAATGGAAATTTTGAGGGCTACAGGGATGGTTGTCAACTCTCCTCTGCCCCTGGCCCAGGACACCCTTAAGTGTTGGAGCCTGTGCAGCTGCAGGAGAGTTTGGGTGGAAGACAGGGAGGAAATTGTGAGGTTGAAGGTAGGAGGCTGCGAGGAGGCCCAATGGGATAGGGCCTACCTGCAGGCCTGGAGCTGGAAAGGGAGAAGCTCAGATTTTCACTGGCCCCCAGAGCAAGGGCCACCTGTATGGCAGGGAAGGATCGGCCCAGCTAAAATAGGCCTGGAAGCAGCCACCTACCCAACAACGGTACAGGAGAAAAATCTGAGTGAATACCACTGCACCCCCTGGGCGTATAGGGGACTGAGCACTCTGGTGGGAAACCAGATTCGCTGCCACTTTTAAAGTAACAGACACCAGATCCCCTATTTAGGGATACCTCCAGATTGCTGGGTGAAGAAGAGTGAGTTTATCTAGGGTCTGTGGTAGTACATTAAGATGCTGTCTAACTCTCCAACAAAGACCTGTGCTGCAGAGGAGGCTTGTAAATAGTTCCAGGAAGTTGTTTTCGGTTTATCAGTTTTCTTGGGCATACTTTACACCCCTAACCCTATCCCAGTTTAAATCTCCTAAATAAAACAACAAAACCAAAGCTCAAGGACTGATCTCTTACGAAGTCTGTTTGAAGATGCGTGATGCCTGTCTGTGCAGGACTATAGGGGGACCCAAATCTTTTAGCGACTCCTAAGGTGATAGTGCTACACCAGTGTCCTCTTAGCCCAATAAAGCCCACTGCACTAGGGCAGTGAATTTTTGTTGTTTTTTTTTTTGTTACTAGGCCTCTGTGTCACAGAGCATAAGGCTGCAATCTGGTCTTCTGTACATACTTTCTCCAGGATTTACAGAGTTAACTTCAACTTATGCTAGTTTCAGTTGGCACGTTCAGGAAATGGTTATTGAAAGCAGAACTACACTGCATCTGAGCACCACAAACAAAAAATGTTATTTAATTCATTTTTAGAATTCAAAGTAAACTCCCATATCCATCAATATCTCAATGCTTTCTTTTGCTGAGAAATCACTTTGAGAAGCATCCCCCTAACATTTCTAGCCACAGCTATCTTGAAGAAGGACAGATGATTCATGTAACATTTACTTCCTAGAATCCATCAACCCTTAGCTTAGGCATGCATAGAGGAGGGTGTGCTTAGCTGAGAAAAACCCTCCTCGACTCCTGGGATGTCATTTGCCTAGGCATGGAAACCAGGAAGTAACTGAAGACCTTAAAAAATGTTTTAAAGAAATATTATATACTTTCCTATCTATTTACTAATGCAAACAGCATAAGGACTACAAATAGTCAATGTTGATTGGGAAAGTGAAGTTTCTCTTTAGTGTCTTTGAGTTTTTCTCATTGTGCTGGTCCCCCTGTGTTTTTTGGGTGTGCCCATCCCTCTTGGATATCCTTAGATCTCTTAATGCGGAACTTTACCCATAGCAACTTAATAAAAAATAATGTTCTTTAGCAAGGAACATACATTCCACATTAATAATTATGCTACCAAAATTAGTGTGTGTTGTAAATTGCCTCCAGGATTGCTTCTGTTACTTCTTGCTGGAGACTGCCATTTTGCTGATGCCCAGAGCCCCTAAACAGCAGGAAATCATAAAGTGGAACTAAATCCATTGATTTAAGTTTCAAAAAAACAGTTAAATTCCTGGAATGCCGGGATTGCTAACCGTCACATTTCCTTATGTCCCCAATCAAACTGTCAAACCATCAAATGGCTGGTGTCATACCTGATCACATTTGCAGCACCATGGCAGTTGCAAATCAAACAGAAGCAGCTTCCTTGGCAGTAAAGGATAAGAGGTTTAATTCCACTTGAAGACTGTCAGCAGATCAGCCTCTACAAATTCAGCAGTGCCTAAAAATGGAGAGCAATTGAGCATGTGTAGAGCAGGGTGAGACACGGTATAACTGGATTTTAAACAGTATAGACACTTACTGTATTTTTAATGTTTTACATAGCTATACCTGCAAAAGGGGCCAGCCTAAAGTGATCTAGCAGGACTTAATTTTCTGACACTGGTCACACCACTGCGATTTAAAATTGCATGATTTGTGTGCAGCACGATTTCAGGTGTGAGTTCTGAAGACTTTATTGTTACTTGTGAAGATTTTCAATGATTTCTTGCAATTTGCAGTGCAATTTCCATTATATTTTATGTATGTGAAATCGCAACAAAACTGTAGAAAAAGTCGCAAACAAAAAATCTGTGCAGAAAAAGTGACATTCATTAGCAAGGTGCGATTTCAATTTGCTACTTGACCCGGCAGTAGAAAATCGCTCGCTGCAGCAAATCGCACGATTTTATGTTAGGACACTGACCCCTCACATCCTTTGCTATCATTAGATGTGATTTCTTCAGTAGGCTGACCTTCAGTTTTGATATGCCTAGACCATTTCAAGTGCAGTTTGCCTAATTATCACCAAACTATGTTCCTCAGTTTAATTTACATTGAGTACAAAAATCCTCTATTTCCAGCTATTTGTTTTCTTTAGCCAGATATGAGACAAGCTTTTGGTCTTATGCATTTTGTTCCATGATCCTTTCCGAACACTCTGGCCTCTGTGTTGTACTTAAAATGAAAAAAATAAAATGAGAGGGAGAGGGCCACTGCACTGATCGGCTGCAAAAAAAAAAAAATGCTTATTAAAAATGCAGCATTAAAAATGAATACTGAGGATAAGAGCTTGTAACAAGCACACTTACATGCTCATGGTTTGGGGGCACTTAATCTTGGATACCCTCCATGGAGGCAGAAAAGAGTAAGATGAGTAAAAACAAATAGCAGCTAGCACTGGCCTGCAGTTGTCATAGGATCCTGGTGTCTCCTGCACTGTGCACTGGTGTGCTGTCACATTCAACAGACAGTACAAACTTTTGCCTGCAAAGTGCACATGTCCACCCACTCCTACAGAAACCTGTTTCGTGGCTGAATCTCCCTATCTCAAGCCTACTACTGGACAATTTACCCACTTGCCGCCCTGCCACTGTTTAAATACGGCGGCAGGGCGGCACTGGCAGGCAAAACCACGTTTTAAAACGTGTGTTTTGTAAACAGATAGGGGGCGCGCGGAGAGGCACGCCGCCACCCTATCTGTCCCGCCGATCACCGCTGCGGATGTCAGTCGTCGGGTCACAGCCGGTCCTTAGTGGCTGTTTCCCGGCGATAGGCGGTAAACAGTGACAGAGAGCACAGCTGCAGTAGCTGTGCTGTCTGTCACTTCCTTGTCAGATCGAGGACAAGCTGATTGAGACAGAAGAGTTTCTCTCTCTCGATCAGCGGTGTCCCGTCCAGCACACACCCCCGCCCCCTAGTAAAACACTCCACCTCACTCAGATAACCCTTCCCTGCAAAATAAAGTTAACCCCTTCCTCCCCAGTGCCATTAGTACAGTGTCAGTGTTTTTCTTTTTGCACTGATCACTGTATTAGTGTTTTTGGTGATGTCAGTGACCCCAAGTCAGTACCCCCCAATGTCAGAATGTCCGCCGCAGTCCTGCAGTCCCGCCATAAGTCGCTGGTCGCTGCCATAAGTCACTGATCACCGCCATAATTCACTGATCGCCGCCATTATTAGT